CCGCTCGCGGGGGCCGCCCGACCTGCCCCGCACCTCCGCCGGCCCCGACCCTCCCTCCTCCCCGGGGATCCCGGCAGAGCCCTCCGGGAGCACCGACATTTTGAATGCATGTGTTGTGGGGCAGGCTTTTCTCAGACTCGGTGAGAAATCTTTCTTTCTCCCTTTCCTTCTTTCTCCTTTCTTTCCCTCCCCCCCGCCATGCACAGTATAACAGTCCTCACAAATAAATGCAGAAGCTTCCCCCCTCCTCTCGCTTTTTCGAGGGAATTTCAGCACTTTATCAAGTAGATAATAATGTATGGCTGCTGCTGGCTGCCCAGTGAATTGCCAGGTACGTTTGTGGAAGAGACCCTTCTCTTTCTTTCAAAAGCTAAAAAGCGGTGGCTTTCTGCTGGTTTAACTCTTTCTTCATGTCAACAACGCAATGGCATTTCCTACGAAGCTCATTTCTTATCCCACCATGGAATAAAGCATTGATTTCATTCCTCTGCCCACCCTGAAAACTGGAAAGAAAATCTCTCGGGTTACCGCACCCTGCAGTCATGTATTGCCCCGGCGCCTGAGCTGAATTTATCTTCTAACACCTTAGAATTTATGCTCCCCATGTAAGTGCAGGGCCAGCCTCATGTGCCTGCCTCCCCCCTCATCCCCCGCAGTCACCGAGCGGCTCTTTCAGCCTCTCCCGGTGCTGCTGCCACAGATAAAACTCTGTCCCTTGCCCGTAGGATCCCACTAGGATCTGCCCCTTTCCCAATGGAATTCAGCAGCCCCCGCCGCTGTGCCGAGGATGATTTAGAAACAAAGGTCAAGTGTAACAGCTTTGCTCATCCGTGCAACCGAAATAGGGGAGAGGGCTCTTTCCCCACAGCTGTATTCTCACGCAGCCTGGTCAGCATGAATCCTGGTGCAGCCACACTTTATACTCTATTTCTTCACATTTTTCTGTTCTTGCTGTATTTGTTTCTATTTATACAGCTCATCTCGAGGTTATATTGTTTACTGCCTGTCCCTGGGCTGCCTCAGGGCAATCTCTGCTCCTGCCTGGGAGATTTACTTTTCAGTTGGTTTATGTCGCAATAAAAGCTCCCCAAAACGTTTCGTTCCATCTCACACGCTGCAGTTTTGCATCTCCGGGTAAATATTATTCACAAATATGCGAATTGGTAGAGCTGGACTTTCTGATGTTGCCAGACTACTAGGGAAAATATAACAGAAGGCATTTCTGAAACCATGTATTAGAATCCTTTCTCTCTCTCTCACTCTCTCTCTCTCTCTCTATATATATATATAAAATCCCTATTAGTAAGATTTGCTTTATATCATTTTCTTCTCTCTCGGTGAATGTAAAAACTTCTGCAGGAAAGCCGCCCCCCAGCACACCCCTGCAGCTAGGCACGTTTTATCTATCACCTGCAGACCCCGTGAGGCGCAGGGAATCTACACCAGCTCATTTATCTTTTTGGTTTCCCAGAGGCTTTTTGTAGTAACTGTTAACTTCCCAGGACAACAAAGAGTAATTTTCAAAGCATCTACCTAGGCTTTTCAGTTTATAATATTGTTTCCGATAAATGGAGTGGCTTAACGACAAAACGCAGCAGTAAAAGCAAAGAACATGTACCTTTAAACCAGACTTTATACCGCCCGTGACTCACCCGCTAACGCTACGGGCAAGACCATGGTGCAACACGTCCTGGCTTTAAATGTGGACTTCTGGCATGCAATAAAAGCCGCTATTTCTGACTAGATGGGGCGCTTTTTTTTTTTTTTTTTTTTTTTTTTTTTTTTCCTCGAAAAGCAGTTGTTTTATTGAGCCATTGCTTCAACTTCGTCTTGGCGTAAATCAGTTGTTGATGGAGCTCAAAACGGGTCTGGGGTGAGGTTTTTTAGTAGCACAGGTGAAAAATAAGTGAGAAAGATGAACGTTACCTTTCGGTGTTCACCTCTGGTGTAGCAGCGAATGGGAGAAATCCTGGTGGTAGCGGGGACTCCTGTTTTGGAAGAGGATTCCTGCTTTGGCAGGGCACTAGGTGTGGAGAAGGAAAAGGCTCGGAGCATCCTCCAGGACACGAGGAAAGGAAGACGGATAGCAACAGAGAGTGCTTTGGGTCACTTCACCTCGGGGACCTGCGGATTACGTTGCTCGGTTTTAATATTTGGGATGGGTTTAAGTGCTCTTTATACCGGGTATTTTGCGGGTTATTTTCCCAGTCATGCATCCTATGTGCCGTACTGCTTGGATTAATAATCTCTAATCCCTCGTGAACAAAAAATGATGACAAAAGCGCGCAAAACTTCATATTTCACAGAGGTTTTTAATCAGAAAACACAGCAGTGTGACAGAGCTTATAGTAAACGTAACAGACAGACTCAGCAAATTACTTTTTACTTCGGAACGGTAGTAACTGATTTTGTGGGGCTAAAATATTTTTTTAAGAGTTAAAATCTAAACTAATGTACACCCCCTCCTCTTTTAAGTGCTATTTTAAGTACTGTTCATTTTGTATTGATTTAAAACATGCTATTTTGCGCAATTAAAATTTAGACGCTTCAAAATAAAGCACTTTAAAGTGTCCATCTGTCCAACAACTAGATCCTGTGCAAATGTTAAAAGTTTCACACTAAGCTCTTTCTGATACGGTGTTGAGCGTCGTTAGCTCCTGTTGTAGCTGGAGAGGTAAATGAGTTTGAGTCTGCTGAATACTATGAATACTCTCAGTTGTATTGCAATGGAAAATTTTCAATAGTTAAATGCTTTTTATGTACAAGCGATAACATAACTTCCCCAATATCATTCCTACATGTCACTGTATTCAGATATTCCTGCTTTGTGAGATGCATCTATCATTAAAATAGTTTCTTTCCAGGCAAAACAGAAGAGTTGGTGGAAAGCAAATATTTCTTAAAGAGCATCTAAACTGCACTCAGCTTACAAAGCGACCAGAAAACTTGTATTGCAGCCTTCGTGTCCTCTTGCCTATGACAATGGTTCTCTGCTGCTTGTTTTGAAACTAGAAAAACCGTCTTGTTCAGTGCACAGTAAACACGAACTACTGAGCTGAGCTGTTTAAAACCTCTGGCAATCAAAAAAACACCACTTACACTGTTTCTGGTAACTAAATACAAAACCAGCTTGGTGAAAGTTTAAATACACAAAGGGGAAAAGTGTCATCTACATTTAGAAAGTAAGTGACCTACTTCTACAAGCTCTTGTTATGTCAAAATGCAGCTATTTCCCAAAGCCTCTAAGCGCCATCCGCTGTCCTCAGGCCAAGCAGCCTTTGACTCCAAGCTCTGCCTGAGCGAGGAGTTGCAGGTTACCCCTTAAAAGGCTCTTTTAACCCAAAACAGGACTTCAAAAAGCCTGACCGGGGGTGGGGTGGGGGATGCGTTGAGAGGTGGGAGACATCACAGCAAGCTATTTCCTTTTCCTAAAAGTCCAGTAACGTTAAGCATGTGAATATGTAGCTCTTGTATGAGTGACTTAATACAAATGACCTAAAATAAATTGCAAAACTTGGTATTGGAAAGCTAATTATGAGCGACCAACATATACACGGCTGAGTCTATGAGTGCTTTGTAAATGGCAGGTGTAAGAAATTGCTGGGAGCGTGGATTTAAAACATTTCCATTATCTAAAAACCCACCTCTAGAATTTCTGGAGACTTATGCTATCAGCTATTTAAGAAAAATAATAGAAGTAAAGTAGCAACAAATGTTATTAAAAAGGAGGAGGGGAAAAAAAAAAAAAAAAAAAAAAAAAAAAAAAAAAGACGGCTGAAAGCCTTAGTGTCCAAAGGAGAGCGCGTCCGCATTGGGTTTAATTCATGGCTGCAGGGAAGAAGCTGCTGTCCTCCAAGAGCTTCACCACGGCGGATCTCTTGTAGAGCTTGGCCAGGTCGTAGGCGGTGGCCCCCCGCTTGTTCTGGTGGCCCACCTTGCACTCTGCGCGCTCCAGCAGCAGCTCCACCACCCGCACATGCCCCTCCCGGGCGGCCAAGTGCAAGGGCAGGTTGCCCTCGTTATCCTCAATGTTAACATCAGCTTTAAACTCCAGCAGAGTCTGCAAAGTGTCCAGAAAACCCTCTCTGGCTACATCATGAATTACAGCGAAGCCAGTACTGTCTTTCAGGTTGGGGTTTGCACCGCTAATGAGCAACCTCCTGGCAATTTCGGGGTTCCCAAGTTTCATTACCTAAGAAAGAAAAAGAAGAGTTGAATACCGCGGGGGTGTTTGCTCCAGCACTGGGCTTAGATCCTCAGTTCTTATCTCTGGGTTTTGTCACGGCTCAGTCCTCACTTGAAACAGAGAGAAGAGCCCCCCTGCAAAACCAATGATACACCAGAACATCTTTTTTTTTAAACATATTTTTTACTAAACTCGGTGCAATTGTGAAAGCTGTTATCATTTCTGTGATAACAGCTTTCTGTCTCAGAGAGATTCATGTCTGAAATAGGTGGTGTAGAATGGGGATACAACTTTTTTTTTTTTTTTTAGCCTGGGTTATCTCAGTTTCTTAACATACGAAAATTAAGTATGGTTAGGTTTTATTTGCCAAAGTATTGAGACACCTTTGCATTACTGTTTAATCTCTTTAAACATCAAATATAGGGTCTCTGAGGAGCAGATATTTTACCTCAGCAACAGCAAATGTAGAATGTGTTTTTATAAGCTTTTAGGTGTTTACATTGTCTGTGCATTATCATAAAACAAATATTTGGACTGTACCATAGCTCTGTCTGCTAAGAAAAATAAATGATAGAAGAAATTTTTCTCCCCAATATTTGTGTTTCATTATGTCACCCAAAAAGGAGAAGTTAAAAGGAATGTTTCAAAGTTCCAGAAGTTTTCTTCTAAAACAATTATATTATATCATACTTTCAGAATTTCACTATAAGTAAACTGTGGCTATAAGCTGTTGTTAATAACATCCCCTTTAAAAAAAAAAAAAAATCAACAACAATAATTAGATTTTCTGACTGTTCGGGGAAAAAAAGCTTCTTTGAGTTTTCTCGATTGCGTCATAAAACTATCATAATTAGAACGCAAATCTCTCTTATTTGGGACTTAACAGCTTGCACCGATTTCCCCTAAATGCCTAAATTTTTTTTCACACAAAGATTTTTAAAAAATTAGCATGGTAATGTGTAATCTCCTGCCTATAGGCAATGTTTTCCTGTCCTTGTAACTAATCTCATTGTAAGTGTCAAATTCGAAAAAAAAAAAATCTTTTTTTTTTTTTTCCCTTAGAAACGTCCACATATTGATTTGAAAATCTTGATTACAAAATTTATATGCATAAAGGAGCATTACAATACATTAGATTCAGCATAATGTACAATTTCTACAAGGGATTTGCTGAAAAAACTCTCCTGGTGAAAAATATATATTAGGCTTTTTAAGAAAAACAAGCTATAATAAATATAATTACTTCAGCGTTTGGATTGTAAAGCAGCCCATTGTATTATATCTACAGACAAGAGCAAAAGTGCAGATAAGACAGGCTGGGATTCAGGGAAAGAGATTTCTCTGTGCCCCAAGGCTTCCAGCTCCGCATGTGCCATTTCTTTCACTTCTGACTAGAGATGGAAGCGATGTAAAAGAAAACAAGAGCATTGTGATCTCTCTTTCTTTAGTAAAATCTGGACATTTTGATCTCTTTTTGAGAGCACAGGCTGTATTATTTGTGAATTCAAAACATGTATTTGGTTTAAGTGGGAGTTTTCTGTGTTCAGGCTAGGGGACTGAAAGCTTCAGTTAAAGATGCAGGGGGGAGAAAAACCATATAAAAGGTGATGCTGTTGGGACGTGGGCTACAACTGTAGAGCAAATGCTCTTTATTTTGCTAAGTTTCACTTGGGGGGAGAGAGGCAAAGAAGGAGAAAGCATTAATTGAATAAGTCTGACGAAGAGCAAAAGGGCAGGACATGTACTTGAGGCCTGCAGAGGTACACTTCATCAGAAATAAAAAGTACAGAGCAAGACAAGCTGAGCAGTTGTTTAATTAAACATAAATGCAGAGGAAAAATATAAATTCATTGGTATTAATATAGGAGCATTCTCTCTATTTTAATTGAGAGAAAGATTATGGAGAGATTACCTCGGTTGTGGAGAGTGCACTGACAGAGAGCTCTTTCGAGCGTGGTCATGCACCCACAGCACATTTCGGGATGATACATATTGAAAATAAGTCTACAGATACTCCTGTTTTGATTTTTGTTGTGGTTCATTAACTCAGTTATGATTAGGCAGCGATTGTTAGGACACGGATGCGTGTTTAATATAGCCCGGTGCTATGTCATTGTGTAAAATATGCCTTAATTCAGGATACGGACAGTTAGCTGCTTTTTTTTTTAAGAAAAAAAACAAACAACAAACCAACAAACATTACTGTAGGATAAAACGGTTTCCAGCCCTCACCCCAATGATAAACCAGCTAGCTAAATGTTTCCTGCTTTCTTAAAGAAGTTAGTTTGTGTAAGTTTTTAATTTAAATCCTTTCACTCTCTTAAAAGTTGCTGCAAGTGCCTGCACTGCCATGCGATGCCCTATTTAGGTGCTAACAGGACAGAGAGGAGCTCAGAGATCTCCAGCTTCAGCGAAATTGTCAAAAAAGGGTCATTCCTGCTTTTTCAGCAAGAGGTGGGTTTTTTTTCCAGCTCTAACATTTTGAAGTTAAGCCAAAAAGCTGTAAATATCTTGGGTACATTCACAAGCTCTATGCTGCTTAAAAAAAACAATTTTAGAAATTATTATCACTGTTTGAGGGGGGGGGGGGCGGGGAGGAGAAGTTAACAAACGATTTTTCTAGTGTGTGAAATTAAAAAGACCTATAGCTCCACTTCCACATTTCATTACTTACACCTTAAGTACAGATAATCACACTCTTTTTTTTTTTTTCCTCTGGATTTATAAATCACTTCTTTCACTATTTGGTAGGTATTCTAACCTTTTCACCATCATTATCTGATATTATTAAAAGCAAAATCTTTCACCAGCTCCAATAGTTAGCAGTTGGAAGAGTTCCAACTCCCGCCTGCACAGCCACACACTTAAAAATTAGGACATAGCACCCTATACGATTAGAAAGGAAATAGCTGGAACTAGTGCTCTGATAGCCGATCTAAAAAAGCAAATTTTTAAGCCTTAATTATGAATGAAAAAGCAAGTGATTCAGCTGGAACCCTAACTCGAAGGACTAACTCTTAATGTGCATCGAAGGTCCTCGGTTGTGAGCAGCATGCTTCGAATGAGAAAGGTCATTCCTCACAGACAGAATATAAAGGAAAAGTACCATCTACAGCAGCCCCCAGAACCGAGACAAGTCCCGCTTTAAAAGCATATTGCACGGAAGAAAAAAAAAAAAAAAAAAAAAAAAAGAGAGAGAGAAAAAAAGGATAAATCCTAAGCTTCAGAGAACAGCACATTTGTGTTTACAGACCTGCTATGAAATCCTGCTCACCTAAGCTGATTTCTTTTCATCTCAGCTCTTTCATTCCTTGCCTCCTCCCCACGAAGTTACAAAATATCAGCAAACTCGTAGCCCGTTTGACATTGAGGGTGATCCCCGATTGAAATAATGGTTTTGACCACTTTTATTTCAAGTACGTCATTTTAGGGAGTTGGAGCCACTAAAGTTATAAAATATGGCATCCAACGAGTTTGAAAAACCACTCGAATTTCATCCACCAGCCTGTTTAAAACGTTGTCTTTTTTGGAAACCCGGGTCACGTAGGTACCAGTGATGAAATATTTTCTCCCTCTCTGGATACCAACCTGCAGCGCAGTCCTCCCAAATCCATTTTGTGCATTGACGTTTACATTCTTTTGCAACAAATTAGTAAGTTGCACTAGGTCCCCCTTGGCAGCCGCGGACGCCAGCTCGTTCCCAGAAGGCTCGGCCATTCTTTAGGGTGACTGACGATCGGAAAAAAGATGAGATTTTTTTTTTTTTTTTTTAACCAGGCATGGCATCGGAGACTGACAGAAGGATTGGGATGGTTAATCTTCTGGAGTAGACCTTGTAGTAAATACTCGTAACAAACCTCCTTGCCAAGAGCCCGCCCCTAACTCACACGTCATTATTCAACAAAACTGCAGCTCCACTTGAAAGAAGATTTCTTTGCTTCCACATATAGAGTAACTCCTATTAAAGACTTTGGCCACTTTCGGGGGGTAATAGATTAATAGCTATGCAATATATTATATATGTTATAGGTAACATATATACACGTACACCGGAGACTCACTCAGACCTGAGATCTTTGAAGAAGAAGACAACCCACCCTGTTCACAGTCGGGATCTGAGACTTAGCAGCAACAGCTCCGAGGAAAAGTTCTTCCGTAGCAGTGTGCATCCAAGTCCCGCTCGGGATCCCCCCTTTCATCCCACACCGCCGCCTCTAGTCCGGGCCGAGCAGGGAAGAGAAGGACGAGCCG